CCTGTTATAGAATTTCCTGTACAGTAACTGCAGTCATGTAGTATGCACTCTTTTGTCTACTACTTGTGTTCAGTATAATGTTTTTTTGAGATTTATGCATGTTGTTGCATGTATCCATAGTTCATTGTTTCCTATTACTGAGTAGTAGTAGTCCGTTGCATGGATAAACCATAATTTGCTTATCTGTTGTCCTTGTGGGGGCGAGTGAGTTGTTTCCAGTTAGGGCTATTATGAATGAAACTGCTTTGAACAGTCTTATACAAGTCTTTTTGTGGATACAGGTAAAACTTGGACTTTATTTATTGAAACAGGGTCTCACTGTCACCTGAGTTGGAGTGCAGTGGTGTTATCATACCTCACTGCAACTTAAAACTCCTAAGCTCAAGCAATCTGTCTGCCTCAGCCTCCCAAGTAGCTGGAACTATAGGCATGTGCCACCACACCCAGCTAATTTTTCAGTTTTGTGTAGAGATTGGGTGTCACTGTGTTGCTCAGGCTGGTCTCAAACTCCTGGCATCAAGCAATCCTCCCACCTCGGCATTCCAGAGTGCTAGGATTACAGGCGTGAGCCACCGTGCCCCGCCAAAACTTGGACTTTTTAAACTGTAACTCTTACTTTACCTTAAAACTCTGAGTAAATCATTTAGCTTTAGTAGAAAACTAGTTGATTGAACATTTTTATGGAGTACCCACTTTGCATATTTATGGGGTATACAAAAAACAGGGTTTAGTCCCTTCCCTTAAAAAATTTACAAGTCAAATAGGAAAAGCTATGAAAATACAACTTACAAGTCCTTTCAGTCTGACTGCACTATATATAGAAGTTTACCTGGGCACTGTGTAAATAGTGCTAGAATGTTACTGGTGAGTCAAAACAAAACTCATTCTGTAAAACATGTCATATTAACTTAAATCCTCCGAACATAGGACAGAGAGGCACATGGGTCAAGCAGATTGAATTTTTTCAGAGAGCCATTTCCACTTAATTTACTCTCTGCCAAATGCATTCCTCTGCTTATTTCTACAGTCTTCATTCATCTGAAAGCAATTCACTTGAATATTTGTAGTTACATTCTTCTGCTTAATTTAATCTTATTGAGATGGCAAAAACAGGATAATCTGGATCAGGAAATCCATAGACAACATTAATTCAGCTAGTTCATAGGAATCAAATTGTGACCTGTCTTAGTTTAAACCTATTATCTTTCAGAAATAGCACTTTATTTTTCTTAAGGCAAAATAATCAAGGCCATCTGATCTCACTTAATATATTTGTGACTAAAGGATTAAGAAAGGTAGTGAAGAGTCTAATATTCTTGAAAATGCTCAGACCTTTTCAGTACAAGCTTATAAACAATAGAAATGAAGGTTAAATCAAAAATATTTGTTTCTGAATACAGGCTTAAATATCTAAAGATTGCAACTTAGGCCAGGCGTAGTGGCTCACACCTGTAATTCAAGCACTCTGCGAGGCCAGGGTGAGAGGATTGCTTGAGGCGAGGAGTTCAACCAGCCTGAGCAAGAGCGAGACACCGTCTCTACAAAAAGTAGAAAAATTAGCCGGGCATGGTGGCAGGCATCTGTAGGCCTCAGGAGGCTGAGGCAGGAGGAGCACTTGAGCCCAGAAGTTTGAGGTTGCAGTGAGCTATGATGACGGCACTATACTCTAGACCGGGCAACAAAGGGAGACTCTGTCTCAAAAAAAAACTAAAAAATAAAAAGATTGCAATTGAAACATACATATTATTTTAGCACTGTTTTTCTTCACTGAAAATTTTGTCAGATGTAATCTTTTTTTAGTTTTAATGTCCTAAATGCTGCAAAATGCTAAGCATTGTCGAATTGAAAACTATCCTTTAAAAAGCACCCATTTTAACCATAAGCTTAAGAATGCTTTATTTCAGATGTTGTATTTTGTCTACTTGGATTATATCACTGTATTTGTCTACTTACTGAAATAGGGCTGGCTTTTTAATTATGCTAGCTTCAGCCAGGTGAGGTAGCTCACGTCTATAATCCTAGCACTCTAGGAGGCTGAGGCAGAAGGATTGCTTGAGCTCAGAAGTTTGAGACCAGCCTGAGCAAGAGCAAGACCCTGTCTCTACTAAAAATAGAAAAATTAGCCAGCTGTAGTGACATGAGCCTGTAGTCCCAGCTACTTGGGAGGCTGAGGCAGGAGGATCACTTGAGCCCAGGAGTTTGAGGTTGCTGTGAGCTAGGCTGACACCATGGCACT